CCATGACCATCTTCATCCAACTCGCCGAGTCCACCCATGGGACTCGTCGAGTCGCTTCAGTTCTTAATCCATACAATGGCTTTGCAAGCCATGCAGGGGCTCCAACTCATAGATCCACTCTTCCCAAGTCTATTTCTCATGTAAAGTTGCAAACTTTACGTGAAACCAAAGAGATATGGGCTTAAAACACTCTAGGGATAGGTTTTGTGACCAAGGGGCTTCAACAACAACTTATTGGCATAAACTTTATGGCTTTCTGGATCCTTAATAGCCTAGATCTGAGGTAGCTACCTCAGATCTACTCCAAACTCGAAATAGACCTCCTCTATACTCAAAATGCCCAAATCTCAAACATAAGAAAGATCTAAATGCAATAAGGTCATCTTATTACCTCAAAGGATCTGAAAAGTCACACCAACTCTGTATCCAAGGCTTCCTCTTGCACTACTATGAACCTCCTTCTCTTCCAAGCTTCAAATCACTTCACCAAGAATAGATCTTGCTCAAAATGGATATGGTGGCTAGGGTTCGGCATTCTGGGTGAGAGAGATTGTATATGAACCCTATGGAAGAGAATGAGACGTTTAAATAGGGCACCAAGTCCCGAACTTGGGGTTTCCCAATCCAGACCGGACTTGCCGAGTCCACCTTCCGACTCGTCGAGTCGGTCACTTACTCTTCGACCCGGATCCCGACTCATCGAGTTCCACCTTGGACTCGACGAGTTGACCCCTTTGACTTAGGGTTTTCCTTTCCTTTCTTGGTCTTTCTGATTATGGGTGTTACAAGGACCTAACTATTGGGCCTAGTGGGCTAATATGGGTTGGAAACCTTAATTTAGGATTATCGGGACCACAACGGAATTGTTTATTGAACTTAAAATATTATTGAATAATCATTGCAAATTAACCTAAGGCCATGTGGGACTCAATGGATTAAGTCCTTAATGGGTTAAGTAGGGACACTTAACCCTAATCATCATTATATGTGAAACCCTAATTTCACTTGGTTTTTTATTGGGCCTTTCTATTAGGCCTTGATGATTGAGTATTAATGGGCCATCCAAGATCAAGCAAATGGACAAAAATAATTAATGGGCTTTGAGGTAAGGCCCATATGAGGGTGTGGGCCCAATTTGGAAAGTTGGGCTATAGATGGGCCATAGTTTTGGGCGTTTATGATTATGAGATATTGGGCCATTAGAAATACCAAATGTTGGACTGGACTTTTGGTTGGGCCTTTGAATAAGACCTGTAAAGATTTGGGCCCAATTTTCCATATGTTGGGCTTGGCCCATTACTTGACTTTTGGGCCTATAGAGTATGAATTGGACCTTGGGCTTGGAACCCAATTATTAATTGGGTATTGTTTGATGTTGAAAGTTCGGGAACCTGTCAATCAGCACTGGAGTTTTAGTTGCGGGACTTCGGTAGTGCCAGGTGACTCTCCTCACCATACCAATGGGTCTAAGGCACCAAGGTCGGCCCATTTCATGATATGTAGTATGCTAGGCATTATGTGTTATATAGTATGCTCAATATGTCCATGATAGATGGTATGCTAGTTGTTCTGTATATTTTCATTGAAGACCATGGGAGAGCCCATGGCAACAGGATGTAAGACCATGCGGAGAGCCCATGGCTTTCCTACTAAAGACCATGGGAGAGCCCATGACACTTAGGTGTAAGACCATGTGGAGAGCCCATGGAATCCTGGAGTAAGACCCTGGGGACGAGCCCAGGACATCCTGGGACGGGACCAGGGCATCTTGGAGTAAGACCCGGGGGACGGGCCCAGGGCATCCTTATCTGCCGTATGTATAGTTTGTATGAAATATGTGGACGGTATAGTTGTTGTGACATGTTATGTGTATGTTTATGTGTGGGTATGCTCTGGGGAACTCACTAAGCTTCGTGCTTATAGTTTTGTTTATTGGTTTAAGGTATCATCGATTTAGAAAAGAAGGGCTCGGATTGATCGCAGTGTACGCACCTATGTTTTTTCCGCGTTGAATGATTTTAGGATGAACTCTGATAAATGTTTTTAATTAATGATGTTTTAGATGTTTGGAATAAATGATATCTATATTTTGACTATAATAAAAATGAATTTTTTTACCCTTGATTTTTGGATCGTTACAAATCTCATCTTAGGCTTGCCCTATGGTAACTCTCCGACCTACTCTCCGCTATCAACTGCATAAGAAATCCCTACTACCTTTACCTAACTAGCTCGCGAATACCATTACATATCACTAAGACCAGATAATTCTTCAAATGAGAGGTCCTACCCTACAACGGTTGGACTCAAAAAAGAGCTGCGAAATAAGGTTGTACCTAACCTTTTGAAATTATTTAGTCCTCGCAATATGTAACTTAACGTATTCGTTTAGTAGTTATTTAAAGATAACTAGAACTCCTAAAAACACAACGGAAGCAACATTCGAGCATTAAGTAACAAAACCAAGCATATCTTATTCAGGCCATCATATCACTGACTAATCAGTTCTAGCATGAATTTCAATAAGCACATATAGCAGACACATAAGGCATCTTCCTAGATCCTTAGCCCTAATCTAGCATGTAGTTCTCATACATATAACAGACATATAAGGCATCCTTCTTAGATCCTCAGCCCTAATCTAGCATGCAGTTCTCATAATCATATCATATATCATAACAAACATGTATAGGTATCTTGGGGAAAACGTACTTGAGCTCGGTCGATTGCACACATCACACACCTTGTTCTTTTTAAAGTCCTTTTTCTCTTTTCAAATTCCTTTCAAAATTCTTTTTATAAAATCATTTTTCTTTTGAAAATTTTCATACCAATTCCTCAGTTTAAGTCCAGACACACCCGAGAGTGTGCTCGAATCCCTCAAACCAAGGCTCTGATACCAACTTGTAACATCTCAAAAATATGGACCACAAATTTCATTTTTGATATAACGATTCATAAAACAATTTTTAAGAAAACATCATCAAGTTATTTCATATCATAAAAACCATAGATTATATGTCACAAAAGCATGTCATATAATAGTAACAATGTCAGAGTACAATCCCAACAATCTCATATGCGGAAAAGCGTGTGTGTGATGCGCTACTACCGTGCCGGCTCCTTTCCTTCAAAGAAGAAGGACCTGAAACAAAAACTAAAAACCGTAAGCATAAAGCTTAGTGAGTTCCCCCATATCCGGGTACTGGACTACCCCTTATGTCTCATTCAACCGGTAACTATCTAACATATCAGGGTGATGGCCTACTCCTCTGGTCCCGTCGACCGGTACCTAGCCTAGCATATCAGGGTGCTGGCCTACCCCTTCGGTCCTTTCGACCGATACCTCGCCTAGCATATCAAGGTGCTGACCTTGATGAATTTTGAGCACTATAACACTCCTATGATGCACATACAACCCTAATGCTTTGGATCTAAGTTTTCTTTAGTTATACATGCAATAAACAATTTTCCAAAGCATGAGTCCTAACTAGCATGCAATTTTACATATGAATCATAAAATCTAGTTAGAAGGTTACCTCTTCTATTAGCTTGAATTACTTGGCCTTTAAGAGCTTAGCACCTCAAGTGTGATGCTTCAAATGGTTTACAAAACACCACAAACAATTGTAGAACTTGAGAGAGAGGTTAGAGGCACTCACAAATTCGACTATAGTATCTCTAAGATCACTAGTGTGTGTCAATTCTTGCCAAGAGGTTATATATATATATATATATATATATATATATATATATATATATATATATATATATATATATATATATAGTGTAGAATTTCAAGGGTTATATGTAAGCTCTAATTCTTACACTTGGGTTTGTAATGGATTAACATTATATGAAACCTTACATAAGCTTAGCACATTACTAATTTATTAGCCCAACCTATATGTATCATTGATTTACACAATCACACCCTATATATTTAATTAGTCTCCTTTCATCACCAAATTAATTCCAAATGCATGAGGAGGATCGGCGTAATTTACCCTCTCGAATGTATATTGTATTTAAAATTTTAAGTATTAAACGTCTTTTTTAAGCTCTTTCAGCCCACATTGCTCCTTCTTCCTCACAAAACGCCTTCCTCTTGCGGCGCTACAATCTTCAGTGGCTTTCAACTTTCAGATGACGCATACATGTTTCAATCTTGGCCCATGTATATGTGTCTGAAGGAACAAAATGCAGTATGCAGTGATCGGAGATTCCACATGTCTTAACTCGACTAATTAGAAACACATTCCCGTCGCTCAACTTTAAGGTTTACATTCTCCGGGAAGAACTGCCCTCGAGAACCCATTGAACTACACCCAAAATTATTTTCCGGGAAGACTCCGCTCGAGAACACCGTCATCGGAGCTCTGTAATACTATCACACAAACTTCATAAACAACTTCACAAATAACTTCTGGTCCGAACGGGTAATATCATGCACTTTCAGGTCGAAAAAGTCGTGTTACTTCAACACCTGCGTAATTGTAATGGATCTGAGAACATGGTGAAAAAGAAAATGACAACTGGAAAATCGAAAACCGGATGGAAATCCAGAAGAAAAGGAGGATCTACGAACTGGGTTTGATAGACGGGAATATTGAACAGATTGATCATCGGTGGTATAACATGGATTCGGACGCGAAAATGTGACTATTGAGATGAGTTTATTACACTGCCAGCTTTGAAGGAGGAAGATTAAGCGTGTTGTGTTTATGTGTTGAAAGAGAATCAAATCAGCTCCCAAAAAGCATTGGAATAATTAAAATACACTGTAAAGGGCATAATAGTAAATTACTAACAAAAATATGTGGAGCCATAAAAATAAGGAGTGGATTTATCAGCTCCCAATTATTCTAGCAATGACTTTCTTTCCGTGGGGTGCAAGTGTAACGAAAGTAATTATTTTAGCAACCTTGACTTTCTTGCTGTGGGGTGCAAGTGTAAGACTCCATAAATACCTGTAAAAATTTAGATATGTATTGAAGGATAAATCTGTTCAGCAAAAATTGGCTTCAAATTTTTTATATGTATTTGATATTTGTAAGATTTTGCGATGTGAAATAAATCGAAGAAGACAATGGTTTCGACCCTATGGAACAGTTAGAAGATGGAATTCACGTTGTCAATTCTTCTAATGAAATCCAGAAATTAGTAGAAGAGGCCGACAAGAAATATCAGTTGCTGACTCTTGCTCTCTCCCGTATCAAGAAAGATATAACTCGGCGAAATGTAACCTCAGATCTTTGAACTCAGTAAAAGTTTTGCCTTTCCTTCGATTTATTAGTTGTTGCAAAACAAAAACTCACATATATGATATATCCCTCTTTGCTTTTCTACTTCTAAATTGGTTAACAGGCAGATGAATATGAAATTTTCTCTTGTTAGATTCTGTCAGACGAGATTGAGGAAATGAAAATGAGGCTGAAGGAACATCAATCTAGATTTATACGACTTAAAGCAGAATTGAAACTTGTAAGAAAGAGCATCACTTGTTTGAAGAAGGAGCTTAAACATGTTAACACAAAGAGATCCAAAGCCTATAAGCATGCTTACGAGCTTGGAGTGCAATTCAGTAATGCGACAGAAGAACTTGCACAAATAGGTGATGTTAATTAATTGCAACCAAAATAACCACAAAAATTAAAAAACCAATGCTAGCTTGACCTTCTAAGTTACGTACTTGTGAGTTCTGAGTGTTAGGGTTGGGAGAAATTGTCTAAAGAGAATTAGTTACATCTTTATATTATTAAAGAAATTAGACTATTTGATGAATTTGATAGCTTTGGTTTTATATGTATCGTATGAAAGTCTCAAATAGAATACTCGGACATAATTTACTCCTAAATCTCAAGTAAAATGTTTGTTTAAGACAGTTTAATATTTGAGAGCATCAATAATATTTTCAGCATATATGGTAGTCACTACTATACAGTTTACTCCTAAGCCAGTTATTCATAAATAAATGAAAAAAAAAATCCTTAAGTTTGTCCAATATAAAAGTTGTCTAAACATGGATTTTTTTTAATTGTTTTTGGACAACTTTTAACCTTTAACTTGTTAAAAATTTACTTTAAATTTTGTTTAATACTTCACATTCTCCTGATTAGCTTACTATATATATGTTATGGTGATTAGACTTTTGGGTTAAAACCGCACCAAAACCGGGTTTTAGCTTTGTTACAATCACACGGTTTTGAAGTTGATACATTTTAATTAATCAAAGTTGAAGTATCTAGTAATTGGGAAATACCACCAAATGAAGCTGTGAATGAAAGGAGTTTTGAAGCTGCTAAGGCTACCAAGGCAGCAATAACTCTAAGGCAGCCTTTGCTCAAGAACAGGATGAAAGTATGGCACACATGAAGTACATTAATTTGCCTATATGATCGAAATTAACCTCATCGACTTCCAACAAAAAGGATGCCTCAAGTACATTTGTGTTCTCTAGTAAAGGTAATGCAAATGTAACCAAAAAGAAGTTTAGAAAAAAGAATGTTACAACTGGATCACTTATTGAACTTATGGATCGATATTGTTGAATGTGGAAATGCTTTTGTATATGAAATGAACGGGGTGCAAGGATGATATTATCGAATTTATTGAGAGTAAAGGTGTGCATGATCATAATTATTGAATATTATGTCTATTAATCTTTGTGGTGCATAGAGTAACAGGAAGAGGAAGTGGGTAAAAAAACATTTGTATGGAACATAATATAAACGTTTTGGTATTCAAGAATATTCTATGTTAAAGTAGTTTGGGTAAATTACACCAATCGTCCCTCGTGCATGTTCTCAAAAGCATGTTTAGTCCTTATTTTCAAAAATTAACTCGGACCGTCCCTCATGTCGTTAAAAGTTGCACGCTTCGTCCCTAACAAATTATTGTGTTGTGGTTTTAGTCCTTGTCGGATCTGAAATGACTATAATGCCCTTTGTGCATTTGTTTTCCATTAACTTTAATGTTATTATTATTATTAGTAATTTAAAAAAGAAAAAAAGCCCCCTGTCCTACCTTCCCACCCACCTCATCGTCTCCTCTATCGATATTTCTCTTCCTCTCGTCTCTAACCTCTTCCAAGAAACCCAAAACCACCATCCTTAAACCATCACCAACAACTACTCCCTCCGACGGCCACTCCCTCAGGTGGCTATTCCAATCATCGTCCCTAACCTCCAATGAAACTTCTCTCTACATCCATCAACGTCTGAAGCCACTTACAACATCGTCATCGCCACTTGAAAATGTCGATCTCTACCTGTAAGCCATCGTCACCACTTCTTCGCCGGAAACCCTAGCACCTGAAAACCATCCTTGTCTTCGAACCATTATCTTAGAGAGAGTATCTTTGCACCATTGTCTCATATCTACACCATCATCTAACAGATCGTCAGCTCCTTGAGTTTCGAGACAAAGAGGAAGGAAAGGGAGGGGAACGACGACGTCTGGTGGAAGAAGAACAATGTCCGAATAGATCACATCAACTCTCCTCACTGAAACAAATTTTGGGATTTTTTTTTTCAAACAAGTTTGGGGAGAAACCCACCGGAGTTCCAGGTTTCATAGCAATGGTGTCCGACCACAGTGTTTCTCATATCCTTTCATCTCTCTTCTTCGTTTAACTGATTTGTAGATCTAGGGTATGGATTTGGGTTTTATTTTAGGGTTTAATTCCAGGTTTATTTTATATTTTTGGAGATGAATGGTGGTGTTTGTCGGAGTTAGCTGGTGGCCGGAGGTGGCTGGTGTCAGAAGTGACTAGTTGTAGGAGGTCGTTGATGGTGAGAAGGTTCGAAACCAATTTAAGTGGAATTTCCATTTTCTAAAAATTATACTTAACAAAAAAAAATAGTATATAAATTATAAACAAATGAAAAATAAATGAAAAAGAAAAAGAAAAGGGCAAGATAGTCATTTTATATCTGCAAGGGACGAAGCATGTAACTTTTAACCAAATGAGAAACGATCCGAGTTAATTTTTGAAAATAGGAACCAAACGTGCTTTTGGATACATACAAGAGGGACAATTGGTGTAATTTACCCAAGTAGTTTATATATGGGGGTAATTATCAGTTTGAGGCCGTTTGACCTTGATTAAATCTACGCTTTGTAATTTGGGTATTTATTTTGTCTATGCAAGAATCATCCTAACGCAACTCACTCTGTAATACACAATGAAAAAATAAATTATACTATATCACATTATATGTCTCCGTTTTGGCACTAAAATCTGTAAAATAAAAAGTAAAATAACTGAATTTGCTTTTTGAAAGTGCATAGATAAAAGGAAGGGCAAAATTGTGAATGTGGCTTTCCAAATATGAATCATTTCCATGCTTTGCGACCACGGAACTGTTTGCCAGCTGTCTTGGCCTTGAGCTTTTTCTGACGGCGTGATCTTTCGATCTTTGATCTCTTGGCAGCTAAAGGCATCGCCTTCTTGTGTTCCTTTTGCTGATTGCTTAATCCACCAGTCTACATAGGTTAAATGAGTTGCATTAATATCTTGGACTTTTGAATAAACAATAAAATAAATAAATAAATAAATAAATAAAACAGACCTTTTTCTGTTTGGTAGCAGCTCTTGATTGGTACTTTTCCCCATCTTCTCTTCCTGCTTTTATCAAAGCCTTCCTTTCCTCCTTTGTCATCTTTTTTCTTATGTTAGCCTATATACATAAAAGATTATGCACATTAATCGATCAATAAGTCTGTAACTAATAAATATTCGTTTTATGATTTTAAATAAATAGATTTTTCAGACTTACTTCAAGTGAATATCCATCGACTCTTTTCAAACTGAGTTGATCAGAAGTTGGGACCTTAAAGACTGTTGCTTTTGGATCTGAAGACTTTTTCAAAATTCCATGATTTGCCAATGCAACCTTTGCATCCTTCTTTGCCTATTTCAGAGAAAAAAATGTATATAATTATAAGTAGCAGATTAATAATAATATTTGTGGTGTAAAAATGGTAACTTACTTTTAACTCTTTGATTCTCTGAAAATCTTCATTTGAGAGAATACCATCTGTTGTTGGCTCTTCTGTTATTGCCTCACTCTCCAATCTAGCTCCTGCTAATCTCTTAAGAGCCCTAAGACTTTGATTGGCTCCATCAAGCTCTTCATCAAAATCTTCAAATTTCCTTTTTTGCCCTTTCCTTTTCTCAGATCCCCTTGAATCAATAGACATCCCATCCACCTCCTCCTCCTCATCAGATACTTCATCCTCTTCACTTCCCATTTCTTCATCATCATCTTCTTCTTCTTCTTCTTCAGATTCCGAACCTCCTTGAGTGCTGATGTCAGCATCAATAGATTCACCATCCTCATCAGAAGCATTGCTGACATCATCATCCTCGTCATCATCATCCAGAAGCAACTCAGCCCCAGGGACATCACTGGGAACAGTAACCTCACCGAATGCTTTTGGCTTTGCTTTTGGATCTGTAGGCCGACCACGATCCTTCTTTATGAGAAGCGAAGGACAAATCTACAGAAGAAGAAAAAGACGAGTTTACCCTTCTAACCTAAAACAGAAATAAATTTGGAGAGAGAGACAGAATGATTCACAGTACCTCTCTGAACAATGAAATAAGCGAACGAGCTGCTGATGAAACTGCCTTCTCGTGAGATTTCTTATACAGCACAAGATCTTGCAGCAAATCCTCTGTCATTAACTGAAGAACAAAAAACATAAGTAAAAAGGGTAATAATAAGTTTTCTCTTTTTTTATTCCTTCAACAAAAAAAAAAAATTAAATCATTCCATAAAATGTAAGAAGCTTACCAGAGGAATACGCAAACATATTTCACGCACAACATTCAACCCAACAGCAATCGACTGCAAAAGGAAATTAAATCTAAAAACTCACATCACTTATAAAAATAATATAACCAAAAAATAGCAACAGAAAGATACATACCTCTGTACGTGACTTATCATGCACAAACTGATTAACTATCTGCTTGAATAATGGTTCAACTGCATCAGGTGGCACCTGCTCCACATAACTTTATCAATTTTTTTTATATATAATATAATGGTAATAAAAAACACATTCATTTAAATAATTCCAATGAAAAAAATAAAAGGTTAAATTACATATTACATACCATATCATGACAGGCTTGAACAGCTGCTGCTAACAAGTTTGTCACATCCCTTTGGTGGGGCTGAAAATTTCACAACAAGAATGATACCAATGAATATAAGTAACAATTAGAGATAAAAATAGTGAATATAAAAAACAACTAGAAAGAAGAAAAACATTACCTGAACATACTTCTGAAGAAAAGGATAAAAGTTCAATAAAATCAATCTATGAAGTCCAACAGTACGCGCAACCACTTTCACCATCATCATTTTTATCTGGAATATAATAGTTATAGGGGTGTATAAGAATACATAACATTGAACATGTTATTGTGATTTAGGAGGGAGGTTGTCAAAAATGGGACACAAAGGGGTATATTAGTAATTACCTCAAAACGTTCACTACAAGTTTGAAGTCGTGAGAACAGCTTCTCAGCAAACCCCTGTGCATCTGTTAAAGCATTGAGTGGTGAATAGTAGTTCAAGTTATCATTCCTTTCAGATGAGATACGTTGTTTCTTTTTCATGCTACGAATCACACGCTGCAACTTTGCTTTCTTTTTCTTTTTGCTGGATGTTGTCCCTGTATTGTTGGCCTATTTTGATGAACATAAATAAGAACACTGAATAAGGAACCAATTATCCTAAAAGAAAGTAAAAACTGAGCAACTAACCTTGTAAATAGCTTCTTTACTAACGACAACATGATGTTGTTGGATTGCTTCTTCTTCATCACTTGACTCATCACTGTCATTATCTTGCTCAATTTTTTCATAATCAAGAAGAAATGACAGAGCTGCAATCATAATCCTGGTGGAAGAACAAAAAATCATGTGAGTACATTATATTTGTTACATGAAAAAGGACACGTAACATAATAATATTTTGATTTGATGAACCTTGATGATGGGTGGAAACATGCCCGACATATAGCATTGGCTGTTCTATCATCAAACCAGACCTTCCTCCTGTGAAGATCACATATTGTGACAAGTGACCTCATTGCTTTCTTTTCATCCTCTTCCTAAAGCAACATAAAAAGGATATCATATATAGTTGGATACTGAATAAGTTTGGCAAAGAGATTTAAAAAGCCAGAGAAATGTGTGTATACCTGTAGCATTGAAAATAGAATACTTTGAAGTGCTCTGTTTTCTGTTTCGTTCTTGTGTTTCTGATTCATACGCTTGATACTATGAATGATATGAGAGAATGCCAATTCTTTTAAAGGCTTATCAGTCAAAACCTGAAGCTCCATGAACAATGCAAGAGTCTCCTTGATGGCAACAATCTGTGAATACAAATGAGCCAAGTCATAAACATATCTACCAAAGCCTCTTGTAAAATGATCAGTTCCACCCAGACAGACAAAACCAATCTCTGCTATGAAGTCTATCCTATTGCTTTTAAGATTTAATCTCGATCTCAATACTGTTACAACTTCAGCACACTATATTTGGTTTGAAATTTAACATACTTTATCAATTATTTATCGAGCATTTGGTAGAACTCGTTTCAAATCAAATTTTAAGTTGCAAATTCGTCGATTCTCGATTAACGGTAAAGTTCTTCTATCATCAAACAGAAAATAACTGAACTGAGCGTGCTGTGTGTGTACATATAGTCAAATATTGATCCAATTTAGATGATACCTTGCGATTTAGAAGAAGTATCAGAGCTTGTGTAACAGTGACACGAAGCGAGGACGGAAGCACCCGAGCGGATGACCTAAGGAAGTCTACGAGCTCTTTCGGATAGTTTAGGAGCTGGTTAGGGTAAAAAGGCGTAACGTGAGCCAAGAACATGGCCCGGTCACCGAGGTCTTTGGCAACGGTAGGGTCGCTTCCAACGCCGCCACTGACGACGGAGGTGAAATTTAGTGCCGCCTGTTGTTGAAAAAGTTCTACAGACGACTTGAATTGGCTGTAAATCAAGTTTAGTTCGGTCTCGTAGCCTTCAGGGTCGCATTTCATTTTAGATTGAAGCGTAGGCAGGCTGAGCTTTTCCGACGTTCGGCCTGACGCCGACAACGCGTCCGCCGTGATTTCAGTCGCCGGCATCCTTTATTTGATAAGCTACACGATTTCACCTTCCGTGTGTTCGGAGCAATGGACAGAAACCCTAAACCCTACCGAGTACGAAGGTGTTGATGAGGTTGTATATTAGATAACTAGGTTATAATATTTTTTTAAGGTGTATATTAGATAACTAGGTTATAATTTTTTTTTTTTAAGGGTTCAGGTCACTTAGGTGCGTTTGTTTTCATTTTCTAAGAAAATGTTTTTAGAAAATAGAGTTGAATCGTTTTCAATTTTCAATGAAAATTTTAGAAAACGCGATTTTACATCTTAAAAATTTGGAAAACTTTGAAAAATTGTAAAAATCACTTTTCAAATTTACATACAATTTGGAAAACTGAAAATTTTCATTTTCTTGAAAAATTTTGGAAAATTGAACGAACTAAACGCGTTTTCAAAATTTCCATTTTTCTTGGAAAATTTTCCAAGAAAACTGGAAAATTTTCCACAACCAAACGCACTCTTAGTTTTTTGTTTTTTTGTTTATTTGGTTCCTAGTGTATAATCCATAAGAGTAATGGGTTACAAAATTATTATTTTCAATAAATTATTAACTAAAAGATATATCAAAATTTTAAAATTACTATAAATTTAAATTTAATATACAATTAGAAAATATAAATTTGAATTTTAAAATGAGTTACCTAATATATCTACATAACACATAGCATAATATTTATGATGAGTTGTATTAAAGTGACACTTAGTAAAAAAGATTAAAACTATTCATTTATTAGAATAGGGATTTAATTCCTTTTGAAGTTTTAAAAAGTCTTTAGTCAACAAAGTTTTTGTTTGGTTACTTAACTTTTAGTTTTATGCTTATTTAGTCAACTAACTTTTAAAATAATGTTTATTTAGTCACCTAACTTTTGAAGTTGTGTTTATTTTTATGACTTAAGTAAATTACATGAATCGTTCCTCGTACAGGTGTTAAAATACACGTTCAGTCGTTATTTTAAAAAATTAATTTGGACTGACCCTCGTTTGGTTTAATCTTTACATGTTTCATCTCTACTTAACCTGAAATGACTATACTGCCCTACCATATATTTTTTTTATTTTTAGTTTGTTTATTATATTTAATATAATTTTTTAAAAAAAAAATGTGGACCACCCCCTCAAGCCCTTCTCTTCCGTTGTCGCGATCCCTCTTCATCACATTTCACCTACGATTTCTCAAGTTTGTAACTATGACCAAAATCCATATGCAAGAAATCTTTTGCACAAGCGTAAACACATATTGTTAAATCTGATACCAAGAATACATAAAATTTGAAAAATAAACAAAATCGATTTTGATAGGTATTGTTCCAGAAATTGTGGTGGTTGGTCATCGGTGGTCTTGATGTTCCAAAATTTGTAGTCGAAGTCGACCACCTGCCTCCCTAACGTCAACGACAACCCAAGCACCAGTAAAATCGGAGCTCTTGAAGACCAACAAAATTATTTTTGTAGAGTAGATGAACTGATGAAGGGTGTGGGTGGTGTGCAGGTGATGATCACAGATCTGCATCGTTCTTTTCATCTCTCTCGCCCTCTCTCTTTGTAGCTCCGACAGTCCAAGTTGAAAAAATAAACCGATGAAATATGGGTTAGAAACCTGTAGTAAGAGATCAAGGGTTTGTGGTATAGGCCTCATTTTATTTTAGTTTTTCAATTATTAATAATATAAAGAAATCTCTATTCTAATAAATGAATAGTTTTAATATCTTTTTGTCAAGTGTTACTCTAATATAACTTCTCATCAATATTATGTCATGTGTCATGTAGATATATTAGGCAACTCATTTCAAAATTCAAATTTACATTTTCTAATTATATGTTAAATTTGAAGTTATAATAACTTTAAAATTTTGATATATCTCTTAATTAATAATTTATTTAAAATGACTTATTTAAAATAATTAATTAATAATTACAAAATTTTATTATAAAAGTTTAATTAGCTTTATAACCGTGGTTCCCACGGGTTATAAACTAGTTAAAAATAAATCAAAATAGAGTAAATAAGAGTAAATTTGTCTTTTTATGTGTGATTAATGAAACGAGGGACGAAACATGCAACTTTTAAACATATTAAGGACGGTCCGAGTTAAATTCTAAAAATAGAGATCGAACATGCTTTTGGGCACCTGCACGAGAGACGATTCGTGTAATTTACTCTTATAACTTTGTTTTAAAATTTTAGTGGCTAAATGAGCAAAAGTTTAAAAGTTAGGTTACTAAATGAGCACAAATGCAAAAGTTAAATGACTAAATGAGCACAAAGCCAAAAGTTCAATGACCTTTTAAAACTTAAAATGAGTTAAGTGACCAAATGAGCACAAAGCCAAAAACTAAATTATTATATAGAAAAAAATAAAGAATGTATTTAAAAGAGGGTTAATATCAAAATTTATATATTTTGTGTTTTTTTAAATTAAACTTCAAATTTGTTTTTTTGTCTGAAAAAGACCTTATATTTTTTTTATTTTTCCTGATTTGGCCTTTTAGTCATTTTTTGCCAAAAAAATTGTAAAATGTAAGGGTTTTTTCGAAAAGAAAAATAAAAAAACTTGACGGTTTATTTGGAAGCATTTAGAAGTTTGAGGTTTTTTTAGAAAAAAAATATATAAAGTTGAGTGTTTTTTCTAAAAATGAAAAATAAAAGGTTTTTCTAGGTAAAAAATAATTTTGAAGTTTAATCCGAAAAAACACAAAATATAAAGTTTTTTTAGATTAACCCTTAGAATAGTGTTGTAACATCCTGTTTCGGGTCGTTCTATGATTCAAGATTCGTAGGTTGTAATTCGAGTAGGAGAAGGTTTTGAGGTTTTAAAGAAGAAAGGTTTAGACCCTTTGTGGATGCAGGTAAGGTATGTCACAACTAGCATTTTAGCTAGGAAATTCTATTCCTGTGTAACCATTCAACTATTGTAAAACATATACTCTAAGTAAATATCATTTAATGCTCATTTAGATTCACCATTTATGTTCATCAAAGAGTCTGAAGCCCCAGGAACCATGGTTGAAGTCCATATTGGACTACGATTTTCTTATTGGGCCTAATGGACCAATAAGTATCCAATTCAACAATTTTGGGCTTGGAAACCCTATTTGGAGTCTAATTGGACCCACTTCCAAAAAACTTAGCATGTTGGGCCATTTTGGGTCCAAAACAAATTAGTGTACCCTTAATGGGCCTTATGGGCCATTAATGAATTAATTTGCCCTAATGGGCCATAAACTCCCTTTTTCTTTCAAAATGGGCCGTGAGCTATCTAATGAGCCCAATGGGCCAAAAATTTTATGTTTAGGTTCCAAAAATCCTAACTAAATGTTAATGGGCTCAAACTATTCCATTCCTACTCCTTGGCCCAAAGATCTCAACCCAACATCAAATAAAAAAAAAGGGAAATGTAATAAGACGTGACTTAGGAGGTGCCACCTCCATATTGTTCAACATATATTAATGCAAGGACTCTCATATTCCCATGCAAGTCACTTCACTACCTCTCTTCTTCTACGCTCGTCTGAGAGCCAAAAAAACACACACGCACACATACACTTTCAAACACTTCCCCAATCACTCTCAAGCATCCTTCTTATTCTTCCTCCAAAATCTCGAGATTTTGCTTGTGTTCAAGAGGATTCTCACAAGAATATCATCATTTCTTGGTAAGTTTTTACATATCCAAGCTATATAACTCCTGTCTCAAGTTAGATCACTTCTCCTAAACACTTTGGTGATCATACTCTTAGAAAACCTCCATAAGCTCGAGAGCTACAACAAAGGTGTGTCAGGACCAAAAATATCTTCTATTTATTCTTCAAAACATAAACATCAAGAAAATGTGAGTTCATATCCCCTTGTTTTTGGTTTTTACATGATTTTTGGGGGAGAATACAAGTAAAATGTGTAGATCTATGTGTTATGTGCATGTCTTGTGTGATTTCTTAGTTTATGTTGTAAAAATATGTTAGATCTTGGCAAATCATGACTTCTTAAGAAACACTGAGTTAAGATCCATGAACTAAGACACCTTATACATCAAACCATCAAGTTAAAAGTGTTATATGTTTAACATACAAAAAGTTAAGGCAAAAACTTTGTTAAGGGTCAAAATTGTCAAGAAAACAAAAGATAAGGGCAAAAAGTGACATTTATGTTTTTATAAGGACTAAATAGGTCCTACAAGTATAAAAAGGGATTTTTATGCTAAACATACTTTAAAAAGGTCCAAAAATGCAAATTTGAGCTTAATGGGCCAAACATTTGGGCCTCACAGTTTTGGCCCCAAAATTACGAAAAAATGAAGTTTTGGGGATTAAAAATGTTATTTGAGCAAAATTTGAGTCATAAATGTAAATAAACCAAATTTAGGGGTGAAAATAACATTTGTTTTCAAATTGGGCCAAAAATGTAACTTTTACCAAAATTGGGCCGAAAGTGTAAATTTTTACAAACAAAGGGCTGAAAATGCAATTTTCTGTAAAACTAGGTCTTAAATGTCAAAATACATATTTTTGAACTAAAACCGTGAATTTCTAGATATTTGGGACAAAATTGCAAATATTTACAAATTATTGATTAAAGTGTTATTTTTACAAAACTTGGAACTTCATTGAAAATTTAAGGCTTTTGACCAAACATGTTGTTTTATGAAAAAGGAGACTTTTTATAATAAGTTTAGTAAACCACGAGCTAAAATAAACAATGAAACAATACGAATGGACGGAATACATCGTTAACAATTTTTATTGGGCCTAATATTCATTTTACGTGGCCAATGGGCCTTGAGGGTCCATTCAAGTGTATATTGAGCCCAATGTATTCCATGACATGTTTATTGGGCCTTGCAACCCATTTACATGCTAATTTGGGCCTGAGTTATGGGTCACATGTTGTTGGGCCTTTGTGGCCCATTTACATACCTATTGGGCCCAAATTACCCACTTACATGTTTATTGGGCTTCGTGACCTATTTACATGCTAATTGGGCTTGGACTGAGATTCACATGCTAATAAATCGTATCTATACCTTCTCATAACTAGTGGACTTTGTATACTTATATATGTACCTTGGTTTAGATAACGCATAACATACACGTAAACATTAAGCATTATACAAAAGGTTGAGAAT